AATCCCCATCTTTTCACGCGGATTCATGGCCGATAGCTGTGTTCCTTCCCTACATCAGCTCGGGCAGCCTTTTTTCCCCTCTTTGCTGCTAAATCTTTTGTTTTGTTGTTTCTTTGGTGAATCTGAGTTCCGGAATGTTCGGCTTCATGTCTGTGAAATTTTAGAAATAACCGACAACTTCAGTGATGGAGAATTCTGGATGGCGTTAGTGGGCGATGAGGAATTGTTGGTGCTTCCATTCCGATGGTTCGTTTACGCTACAGCAAGTTTGCCGCTTACTGCGTTATTTTTATGCATCTCGCTGGCACTGGCACTGCATTTCAATGAAGCAACGAGCACCCACTGCGAAGTGGTCAACTATTTACCGTCCATTTCGGCTGCTGTCGCATCGTTCTCGCCCGAACGCTACATCTGGCGTTTTTTTATTGCCTTACACTCGGCGCCACGTCTCGTCGCGGCATTCGCATTCAGGTGGACACTTTCATTTCTTTTGCTCATTTTTCAATTGCTATACTTTAACTCTTTTGTGTTTGATTCATTTACACTACACACATTTTGCGGAAACATTTGGAGAGGTGGAGAGAAGCAAGGGGAAGGGGCGATCACCATTAGATGAACTGAGCGTACAGCCGCCAGTAAAAACAATGCGAGGATTTACTGCAGAGAAGAAAGCCTCAGAATGAAAACACCGGTTGTGCCGAAAGGTCAGCTTCTCTGAGTGATGCAGTTTCGGCAGCAGTTATGAGATTCTCGGTCATTTCGATGTTGGGACAAAAAGATAATTAGTTAGGGATAAGCATGAGAGAGTAGCTATGACGACGCTACGATACTGTTACCAAAAGATTAGCTTGCAGAACTTTTTTGATCAATTGTTGCAGAAATTTGTTGCTGACTTCACCGCTAAGGCCGCTGAATGACCGTATATGGTTTGAATTGGGTTGTCATATTGCATGTATTATAAATGTCGCTGAAAGTTTCTCACTTCTTCTGCTAACTTCCATCTCATCCACCGAAAACTATGGTACATTTGTCTGAATTTGCTGTGGTAGTATGATGGAATGCTTTTTTTTAATAGGATAAAAAATATTGTTCGTATCAGCAAAGAAGCTGAGAAGTATGGAGCCGAAAAGATATAAAAGTACCTAGTACTTTATTTCGTTAAAGTGCATACATTTTGTTCGAGAACCACATTCGGCGCTCTTCAGTATATAATAATTGGCCAGCACACGGGCTGCCCGTGCAAAGATGCGTTTTTTGCAGAGTTCCCCGCAGTTTTTGTCGCTACCGGTATCGGTTTTTTCGGCAGAT